TTGTTTTCTTTTGTTTTAAGCATAAATCTAACAAAAAAATTGTATGGTTTATGCTTAAAACTTGACAATGGCTTGTTATATTTAAGATTTATATTCTGTACAGTCAGTCAGTTTGGTCAGTGTTAGGTTGAACTCCTGCTTTGTTATTCAGGTCAGAGACAAGTTCAAAACTGGAATAAGAAAGGTCACACTTTGGTTACGGTAGGTTAGAAACATGGTCAAAACTAAGGTCAGGGAGGGGGTTAGTTTCTAGTGTAGTTACTATCATACTATCAGCAGCCAGTCATTTTCAATATAGGGTTTGGGCTCGAGTTGGTATGTTAAACTTGGGTAAATCATGTTTTGCTGGGTTATATAATCATAGACTTACTGTTCATTGTTTTTGATGTATGAATGTACCATATGTAAAGAGTCTTAATATATTCATTCTGCATTTATAGAATCTGAGAGCCCTAAGAAAGAAGAAGGCCCTTGCTCTTGCCCCGCAGTGGTACCAGTTCTGTAAGAAAACAGATGACATGATGCAGTGGCTGGACAAAATTGAGAAGACCTTAGCAGAGCTTCCTGATCCCCCCGAGGAGCCCCGAGTGAAAGTGAGAGCGAAAGTTTCTGTGTACACTACCAGTCTTAATTATTATTTATATTCTTATATTTTAGCTTCTTCAAAGTAGCCTTTTCAAAGTTCTTCCCACCAGGGATGTTTTTTAAAAAGTATAAAGGGACTTACTGTGTCTTTTAAGTCCCTTTGCTTCCTTCTTAAGAAGTTGAAGGATATTTCAAGACTGTACACCAAAATAATTTATGTATGTTCTCCATCAGGCAGTTGGTTCTGAGATTGAACAGCAGCGTCCGAAGTTGGAGGACTTGCGCGGACTGGGCCGTGTGCTTTCTGAGGGCGGAGCTGCCAAGCTGGTGGAGCCCCGCTTCCTCCTGGTCAATAAACGCTGGGCGGAGCTGGATGTTAATTTCACTCAAGTGCGCCACAAAAGTGTAAGTGTGCTCTTGTTGGTAAAAAAAAGTCAATAGATGTTGGCTTAACATAATTATGTATTCCTATATATATATGTATACATATATATATATATATATATA